AGTTTCTTCCTCAAATTTAAGTCCAATTTGCTGGTAAAAAGATTCTTCTTCTTGCTAAATGCAGCTTTTGCCATGGCAATCCTAGATTTAATTTCACACGTACAACTTCCATCATCTGTTAACAAGCTACCCAAATATTTAAAACATTTCACATTCTCCAGTTGTTTTTGGTCTATCTTTATTGTGACTGGGGTTGGTTGTCTCGAAATTTTTTATAGGATCTAAACAAGCCTAAATACTGCCCCCTCCCTCCTCATTCAAAAAACTCATCAATTTTTTCAAAACTTCACGACAATAAATAACACAAATTTTCCAGATACCATGTTGTAAACAGTCATGGGTGTTCTGATTCTTAAAATATTTTAGTTTACATTGTTGCATAAAATGCTTAGATCACTGCTAATTGTCATTAATCAATACATGAACAAAAGGCAGCATTAATTTTTGTGTGAAAAAGGACAGAGAGAGAGAGAGAGAAGTATTTATAAAACACATAAAAGAAGGTTAAGTTGACCCTCTGCTTAACTAATTAAGCACTACGCCACGATGGCATATGGGGGAGTAGATATATAGATCCACTTTTCTTAACCTTGACACTAGCTGGAGGTGAGTGGTCAGCTTTATGTCCCAGCTGCTTTACCCTAGGGCAGGGGTCGGCAAACTACGGCCCGCGGGCCAACTCGGGCCCGCCTCCGCTTTTTCTGCGGCCCGCGCGCTAAGAATAGATTTTACATTTCCAAACTCTTAAAAATGTCAAAGTGGGATAATATTTCATGAAACAAGATAATTATTATAATATGAGTTTAATATTTATGTGTCTATGAAGCTTTATTTATAGGAAGAAACCTATGTTTTTTCGAACATATTGTCTACCCTAGGGCCTAGGGTAAAGAGGATAGGAGGCTGGGTGGGCTTCAGAGCCAGTCTGGATGACGTGAAGAAGAGAAAATATTTGACCCTATTAGGACTTGAACTCCAACTCCTCGATCGCCAGTCGCTTACTGACTGTGCTACCACAGCTCCTTTATAAAACATGTTGCATCTGAAATTGTGCCAACTCAGGGGACCATTTGGTTTGCCTCAGTTGTCACACTGGTCCTGATTTCTCAGTTTTTCATTCAAAATTATTTGATATTTATGAACCTTCCACAGAATAGGGAACATATTTTATAATCATGCAAAATTACTTCTTATGTCATCAACTTAAACATATGCATTTCATTGCTTCTAACACGTGTTTTATCAATTCTGCGGGCAGATTTTCTACGTGCCTCTTGCTCTTGTTATACCACCAGCTCAGTTCCTTACACATCAGCACATCAACTTCTTGTATCAAATCTGGGTCCATACTCGAGTCGTCAGCACACTTGGACCTCTGGAGTGGATACTCAACACTCCCAGACATCACAGAGTGCATCATGGTAAGTCACCAACCTGACAGTGACTGGGCCTGTTACAGAAACAGTGTAACAGTTGTAGTGATTATCTGATACTAATACTTCATGAATTCTGGAATAATATTAAAATGGTATTGCATAATGAGGAGCTTCATAACTTGTACTCTTCGCCAAGTATAATTAGAATGATCAAGTCAAGTAGGATGAGATGGGCAGGGCATGTAGTATGAATGGGGGAGAAGAGGAATGTGTATAGGATATTAGTGGGAAAGCCAGGAGGAAGGAGACCTCAAGGAAGACCAGGACGTAGGTAGGTGGAGAACACTAACAAGGAAAAGAGTGGGACATCAAGGACACACTAAAGCCATTCATTAAGTACTGATAAAGATGAAATATGTTATAAACTCCGTTTCTCCTGTTCATGTCTTTCAAGCCAAAGTTGCATAAATGGGACACAACTCAGACCTGTCTATGCCAACATTGAGCAGATATATTTCTCTTGGTGTAAGATGCAAAATAATGTCTTTTGTGACCTACTTGAAAAATAAGAAAAATAAATGTAGAATTATAAATGCTAAATCCTTCCATGAAAACTAATACACCTGTGTGACTATCTCATACTAAGTACAAAAAACATTTGTTCATTGTAGGTTGCAATTTGTATTGTCTGGACAAAAATTATGGTGGGTTCCTAATCATATGGGACCGAATCTTTGGAACATTTGCTGAGGAGCATAAGGATGAAGCGATAATCTATGGTTTAGTACATAACCAACCATCATTTAATCCAGTCTTTCTACAGGTAACTGTCAAAAGCAATTTTTTTATTTTTTCAAATAGAAGGTATCTCAAATTGAAAATGCTTTTCGTGATTGCAAATGTTTTTAATGTATTTTGCAGTTATTCTATAATGTAAATGTGATAAAGAAGTGGAAAGCTATGAATGGTTGGCAGGACAAATTGGCTGCTATTTGGAAGGGGCCAAGCTGGTTACCAGGAAAGCCTCGACTTGGAGCAACTGAGGACAAATTAGATGTGAGTAATAACACCATGGTTTCATAAGAAATGAGAAACAACCTTATGTATGCATGAATTTTTTGAGGTCCTGTCTGTGATAAATTAAATGTAGTGCTCAACAGATTTTGAACTAAATGATGAAATGAATATATGGTAAGAAATAGGGGTGATTAGAACATATTATGGCATTCGTTGTCATACATAGTAAGATGATCGTACATACTGTAACGTGGATGGCCAGAGTGTTTCTAGCATAAACGCACTCAACAATAGGATGAATGTTTATAGTACATTGCTAGGCAACAGTCAGCGTGACAATAGACAAGCGAGGTAACTATCACATAACTGGCTTCCAACGGAGTCCGTTCCATGACCGTTGCTATGAAATTATTCAGTAAACATGTTTCAAAAATATAGGCTGTTTCTGTGCATGGTTGGTGCGGAGGCTATGTAATGAGATTCCATGCACTACAGTGTTTCAGTATTTGAGTGTGTGTTGAAGTGTTAAATTCAGTTGAGTTCTCGGTGGAAGATAGCCATGGAAAGTTCGTTGTGTGTGATTTGAAGACTTTAATTATGTGTAATACTTGGAGTGATTTGAAATGCTAATTTCTGTGTTGAGATACATCACCTGGAGAGGACTAGTGTGTGTGTGCAACAGTGAATTATGAAGTGTGTGTGTGTGTGTGTGTGTGAATCAGTGATAGCGTTTTAATTTGAGTGTAATTAAAAGAGGCTGTGACCAAAGTGCTAATAAAGCCAATCATCTGAACTATAACCCATCATTCTTGTCACGCATACCACCCTACACATGACAATACTAAGTTCATATACAGGGTGTCCCAGGAGGAATGGACCAAACTTCGGGAGGGTGTTGCTTATGTTAAAGTATGCCGATATAACCCAAAACACCTATGTCCAAAGTCGAACGGTTACGGAGATAATGGCCCGAGAAAAGTGTGGTCTTCTGGCGGTTCCACGCACTATACCTGTCAGCTGAGACTCCTATCTGTTTGTCCTTGAGTACTGTGAGTCACACTAGCCGTAAGCTCATGTGCTACCTACAGAGCCTACAGATTACGTTGCGGCGCAGTCAGCCACATTACGTCAGCGCTTGCCAGTCATGTGTCATGTATAGGGCTTGAAAACCCTAAGGACAATTATGACATGGCGAGCAAGTATTTTGTACTTCAATTTTATGGCTTCACGTCACTCACAAGTTAGTTTGATGTTACGTACATTATTAACATTACTGAATCCACATATTCCTGCCAGTTTTAATATGTATTTTGTAATCAACAAGTGTGTAACACTGGTCAAAGTTTGACACTTCTCTGGCCATTATCTCCGTAACCATTCAACTTTGGACATAGGTGTTTTGGGTTATATCGGCATACTTTAACATAAGGAACACCCTCCCGAAGTTTGGTCCATTCCTCCTGGGACACCCTGTAGATAGGTCTTGGTTACATGCTGACATTCTGATGGATTTCCAGGTTACACAAGACTGGATGGACAGTTTTCTATACTTCCCATACTAGGTACTTTACTGCTTTACACTAATATACAGAATCTTAAAGACACATGGCATTTCAGAACAAAAAGGGGGAATATCTTGAAGACAAAATGAATGAGCTTGCAACACACAGTAAGAACAAGAATACCATGGCCTTCTACAGAGGAATAAATTAATTTTAAGTAGGTTTACCAACTCAAAACTAACTTGGTAAAGGATGAGAATGATGATCTGCTTGCAGATTCCCATATCATTTTGAATGGGAGAGAGAATTACTTCTCTCACCTACTGACTGTACTTAGGGTCAGTAATGTTATGCAGCTGGAAATATATGGCTGAGCCCAGAATTTTTGAGGCTGAAAATGCTATTGCAAAGTTGAAAAAGTATAAATCGCCAGGTATTGATCGCATTCTGCCAGAAATGATTCAAGCAGGGGGTGAAAGATCCATACACTCATGAATTCTGTTTGGAATAAGGAAGAATTGCCTCATCAGTGGAAGGAGTCTTCCTATTGCATCCTTTCATAAGAAGGGCAATAAAACTGACCATTGTAACTATCGAGGAAAATCACTGTTATAAATTTCATACAAGGTTTTCATTCAGTATCCTTCTCTCAAAGTTAAGTCCACAGGTAAATGAAATTTCTGGAGATCACAGTGCGGGATTCAACAGATAAACTATTGAACATATATTTGCATTCAACAAATATGAGAGACAAAGGGGGAATCCAATGAGACAGTACATCAGCTGTTCATATACTTCAATAATCCTATGATTCAATTAGCAGTGAAGTATTGGGGTACCCATGAAACTAGTTAGGCTGGTTAAAATATACTTCAATGAAACCTCTAGTAAAGTCTGTATAGATAAATATTTGTCTGATATGTTTCTTATTCAAAACAGTCTGAAACAACAAGCTGGTGTTTCTCCATTGCTTTAGAATAAGACATTAGGAAGGTCAAGAAAAACCAGGTAGGACTGAAATTAAGTGGGACACATCAGCTGCTGGTCTATGCTGTCAACATAAATCTATTAAGAGATAACATGAACACCATAAAGAAAAATATATAGGTTCTAGCTGATGTTAGTAAGGAGGGTGGTCTAGAAATAATGCAGTGAAAAGTAAGTACAGTGGAACCTCGCTTAACGAGCATAATTCGTTCCAGAATCTTACTCGTAATGCGAAACACTCATTAAGCGAAACAAGTTTTTCCATATAAATTAATGTAAAATACGATAATGTGTTCCATGCCGAAAAAAATACTCAAAAAATGTATGTANTCCTCCACAACTTCTTGCTGTGAAACACAATGCAATTCCAAATCGTGCAAATCGTTGATGTAGACCGATTGTATGTGCGCGCTAGATCAGCCACGCTCACACCTCGTTCTCGCTTTTCAATGATTTTACGGTTTATTTCTACGGTTATTTTTATTCTCTTATGGCTGTCTTTTTGTGGCTTTTTCTTCAGGGACATTTTTGCAAGGGTTATTGAACTTTGTACAAAAAATATCACAAATAATGTCTGAACAGAAGTTTGAAAAAGTGTGTGATCTCAAGCGACACTAAGATGCTAGCGGAACGAGAGCTAACACAGACTGATGTAGCAAGTGCACAACCCGGGACTTCCCCTCTCGTCACTCGTTATGCGAAATGTCACTCGTTAACTGAGTCATTTTTTTACGATTTGTTTTACTCGTTATGCGAATTACTCGTTATGAGAGGTGCTCGTTAAGCGACGTTCCACTGTACATAGGTCGTACTGAAAGTCATGAGCAACAATTTTTTGTAAAGTAACATGCTTTATTATTGACAAACTAAATACACCACCTCAATCTACAGACCTTTCTTTATTTTTCCACATAATCTCCACTTCTTTGTACACATTTCTCCCAGCGTTAGGGAGCTTGAAAATTCCCCTTCTGTAAAATTCTGTTCCAGCCATCCAAAGACACTGACACACTGCTTTCTGAATTCAGCGTGTTTATGGAAGTGTTTGCATGGGTGTGAGCAGTGTTCGAAGATGGGTGAAACATTTTAAAGATGGGAACACCAGCATCGAAGATGAGCCTCGGAGCAGTCGTCCTCGAACAGCCTCAACTGAATGCAACAAGGAAAGAGTGGATGAGATCATTGAAGATGACAGGCGTGTGACTGTGGGCACAATAGCCCAAAAACTTGGAATAGGGCACAGTGCAATGCAGGAGATGATTGAAAGCTTGGGCTACAGGAAAGTTTGTGCTTGTTGGGTTCCGCGGTTGTTGACTGAAGACAACAAAGGTCACATTGGAAGCAATTGCAAAGATGGGGTGGGAAGTTCTTCCACACCCCTCCTATAGCCCTGATCAGCAACCCTCCAACTACCATCTTTTCGGATTTGTGAAGGATCAGCCGCGTGGACAATGTTTTGAGACAAGGGAGGCAATTCAGAAAGCAGTGCATCAGTGTCTTCAGATGGTTGGAATGGAATTCTACAGAAGGGGAATTTTCAAACTTCCAGAACGCTGGGAGAAATGTGTACAAAGAAGTGGCGATTATGTGGAAAAATAAAGAAAGGTCTGTAGATTGAGGTGGTATATTTGGTTTGTCAATATTAAAGCATGTTAATTTACAAAAAATTGTTGCTCATGACATTCAGTACGACACTCGTATATTGTGGCATATCCGCCAAAAGCCACAATTGTGAAGCCAGCAGAGACAGCCATTGCTATGGAACGGCTCTGCAAACACATCTGTTGCTAGACAATGGCTTAGTAGCCATCATGTGATCACCTCAGCAGAGACGCATGCAACAATAGAGTAACTGTTGGAAGTGGTGTTTTCTGTGTGGTCAGTGCCAAGGCTACATACCGAGAACCAGCTGTCTTTATGAGACACCCGTTTGATGGTTCTTAGGAAAAACTACAATTCCTAAGAAGTTCAGAGGGCACCCGTGTGGAGGCGGGGTCGAATACCTCCACCGTGACCCTGCGAGTCAGGAGGTGATGAAAAGGGAAGTCTTAAATCTGAGACAATAAAATATGGTCGCAAGTCTCAAGGGACTCAGACCCGAGATAGACTGCGCTGGCAACTCCAGCAGCATATATAAAAGACAGACTCATCCTCTCGTCAGAGGGGGCACTCCTCAAAAACAAGACCATAAATGTCAAACAGTAATAAATATTTGGTCATGAGCCCCAGATGGGGCTCGACACCAAGACTTACTGACTGACTGACTGTCAGTCGCAATGTGACTTTGACTCTGACTTTATGAGACAATCCTGAGAAGGCAGTTAGAAGAGTAGGAGGTTGGTGTGAGATGGCTGTCAAACTGCAAGGATGTGTGCCCGGAAATAGAGGAATTTCCACAATCAGAAGATGTCAATAAGCAGAGCCATGAAGACCTTAGTGAGAACACTAGGTTTTGTGTGATAGTGATCTGAAAAAGTAGTCACGAGTTGTGTGTTAAAGTATCCAATAAATCCAATCACCAATCCAAACCCTTGCCACATCACACTTAATCATGTATTAAGATTTTGCCACCAGAATGCAAGGCAAAATCATAATATAAAGACAGCTAACAGATCCTTTGGACACGTGGCAAAGTTAAAATTTTGGGAATGACATAAACAAACCAAAATTTAATTCATGAGGATCTCAAGAGAAATCTGAATTTGGATAATGCTTGCTACCAGTAAGTTTCAAAAATTTGTCTTCTCTTCTGTTGTATAAAACTGTAAAGATTAAAATATAAATTATAATTTTTCCTGTAGTTTTGTATGGGCATGAAACTTGGTTTTTGAGATCAAGGGAAGAACATCAGCCAAAGGGATGTGAGAACAGGCTGCTGAAAATATTTCGACAAAAGAGGGATGAAGTGACAGGAGGTCGGAGAAAACTGTATAATGAGGAGCTTCATAACTTGTACTGTTCTCAAAGTGTAATTAGAATGATCAAGTCAAGGAGGATGAAATTGGCAGGACTTGTAGCACGAATGGTGGAGAAGAGGAATGCCTAGAGGATATTGGTGGGGAAGCCAGAAAGAAAGAGACCACTAGGAAGACCAAGATGTAGGTGGGTACACAATATTAAAACGGATCTTATTGATCAGTGGAGGGCTCTTGTGAACACATTATCAAACCTTCAGGTTCCATAAAATGCTGGAAAGTTCCTGAGCAGCTGCACAGTTGGTAGCTTCTCAAGAAGGGCTCAGCTCCATGAGTGAGTGAAGAAAGAAATAATAATGGTTGAAGAAAACTGCATAATGAGGAGCTTCATAACGTGTACTCTTCTCCAGTAATTAGAATGATAAAATCAAAGATGATGAGATGAATGGGGCATGTAGCACGCATGGGGACAAAGGAGAAAGCATATAGGATTTTGGTGGGAAAGCCAGAATGAAAGAGACCACTAGGAAACCACATGTAGGTGGATAATAACACTAAAATAGACCTTAGAGAGATAGGATGGGGGCCAGTGGAGGGCTTTTGTGAACATGGTAATCAACCTTCAGGTTCCATAAAATTTTGTGAGTACCTGAGTGAAAGGAGACTTCTCAAGAAGGAATCAACTACACAGAGTTAGTTGGTTAGGTAGTTACTGGGAGACAGGCAGCCTGGTGTGACAGGAAAACAATAAGAAACCTCAGTCTATATACAGCCCTCCCCCCCATCTTGTGAATGAATGTTACAAATGGACTCATTGTCCAGGCATGCTCAGTTGTAAATTCTTTAAAATGATACAAACATTCATGGCAAGCATCTAGGTTGCTAACCTACCCACTTAAAATATCAGAGTACTTATATATTCAAAGAAATAAGCTAGCTGGAAAATTACTGAAGGACTGAAACCAGAACCAGCATAAGAAATGAACATGAACAAAACTGGACAGATGAATGATGAAAGACTTCCAAAACAAATCCTACAGTATAAACAAAAAGAAAGAATTCCAAAACAAATCCTACAGTATAAACAAAAAGAAAGAATTCCAAAACAAATCCTACAGTATAAACAAAAAGAAAGAATTCCAAAACAAATCCTACAGTATAAACAAAAAGAAAGAATTCCAAAACAAATCCTACAGTATAAACAAAAAGAAAGAATTCCAAAACAAATCCTACAGTATAAACAAAAAGAAAGAATTCCAAAACAAATCCTACAGTATAAACAAAAAGAAAGAATTCCAAAACAAATCCTACAGTATAAACAAAAAGAAAGAATTCCAAAACAAATCCTACAGTATAAACAAAAAGAAAGAATTCCAAAACAAATCCTACAGTATAAACAAAAAGAAAGAATTCCAAAACAAATCCTACAGTATAAACAAAAAGAAAGAATTCCAAAACAAATCCTACAGTATAAACAAAAAGAAAGAATTCCAAAACAAATCCTACAGTATAAACAAAAAGAAAGAATTCCAAAACAAATCCTACAGTATAAACAAAAAGAAAGAATTCCAAAACAAATCCTACAGTATAAACAAAAAGAAAGAATTCCAAAACAAATCCTACAGTATAAACAAAAGACAGTGTGACTGAAGGCCTTGGAAAAGATGCTACGAGTATCTTAAGTCAGCGTAGGTTTGATTGCCTTTATAATGAAGTGAGTAGCAACAGAGTGAAGGTATAGCTCCATGCATCCATAAGCTCAGCCATGCATGAAAGTGGTTACCTTGCTCACTCACTCACTCACTCACTCATGGAGCTGAGCCCTTCTTGAGAAGCTGCAAATTGTGCAGCTACTTAAGAATTTCCCAGCATTTTGTGGAATCCAAACGTTCATTACTGTGTTCACAAGAGCCCTCCACTGGTCCCTATCCTGAGCCAGATCAATCCAATCCATACCATCACACCCTATCTTTCTAAGATCCATTTTAATATTGTCCACCCACCTATGCCTTGGTCTTCCCAGTGGTGTATTTCCATCTGGCGCTTTCACACTTTAATTCTGGGGAAAGAAGCCCCGGGTAACCACCGGACAGGAAGCTTTACAAACCCCAGAGTCAGTCTGGACAATGTGAAGATAAAGTGTCTTGCCCCCAGGCCTTCCAGCCCATAGTGGGTTTCTTTACTGACTGAGGTATCTTGCCTCACACTTTTCAGTGCAACAGAAGGTTTCCCCTGTGCTTTGTAACCTCTGCACCAGGCAAATGGAATGCGCTATTCAACATACTGCAGTGTATAGACCCATTGCTAGGTAACGACCATAAAACAAAGATGTTACTGTGGCAAAAAATCCACATGCAACAATAGAGGAACTGTTAGAAACAGTGTTTTATATATGGTCTGTGCCAAAATGTTATAATGGAGACAAGTTTAAAATTCAATCAATCAGTGAAGCAAAGACTAGGAGGTTGGTGCAAGATGGCCGCCAGCCTGGGAGTTCATCAAGTGGAGCAAGAGTTCAGTCCTGGGATACTTGCAAGAAAGTAATAACATGAGCACATAAGTAGTTACTATAGGATTCTGACGATGGTGTATAACACACTGATATATTGGGTTTTCGGACTTTATCCATCGTCCTGGTTTTTAAGATAACTAATAAAAACACGACGTTTCGGAAACTGGATCTGTTTCCGTCCTCAGGTGAAGGAAAACACCTATTCTGTTGGGTCCCTTAGAAAGAGCTAGCCTCAATCACTTACATCAGTTTGTCCAGTGATTGAGGCTAGCTCTTTCTAAGGGACCCAACAGAATAGGTGTTTTCCTTCACCTGAGGACGGAAACAGATCCAGTTTCCGAAACGTCGTGTTTTTATTAGTTATCTTAAAAACCAGGACGATGGATAAAGTCCGAAAACCCAATATATCAATGAGCACATAAGCTGAAGAATCTCCATTGTTGAGGTCTGTTACAGGATGACTAGTGAAAGCTGGCTGAGAAGGCTTAGAGCGTCCTCTAGTGATTTGTAAAGAGTGGAGATTAGTGATGGCGCTGTAATTACTTGTCATTAACGAGTTGTGTGTCAAAGAGTTCAATAAATGTGATCATCAGTCCGAAATCCATCTACAGTCACACGTGACAATATTTTTGTGGCTACTAGATACTTTATATACTGTTAGTTACATACTCTGCTGAAATGTGATACATCTTCTGAAATACTAACAATTCATTCTTGTACCTTTATGATGACAAAAACATAGAGGTATTTAAATTTCCTTCATACCAACGTTCAGAAATGCCATGAAGCACAATCTGGCATACTAGTTTGGCTCTAACATTCTCCTCCTGGTGTTCAGGTCTGGAATGCCTTCATGTCAAGACATTTAACAGAAGGGACATCTTTACCTTCAGCATTCATTTTTAAAATCTTATTGCAGTTTTCTATAGCACACTGAAGTAACTGTAAGTGGTATACCAATCCACCTTTGCAATTCAATCTTGAATGATTACATTTATGATCTTACTAAGAGTTGAAGGTTCTTCTGGGTAATGACAACATGTAGTTTTGTAGGTCAACTATCAGAGTACATGGCATCACATCCCAAAAGACAACTCTTCATAGTCACAGCTATGAGGATACTTGCTCTTGTTTTCAAGTTTGAGGTTATCAAGGCAGTAACTATGAAGATTACCAACTTCTGAAATGTGACACCTACATTTCAGAGCAATGCACTGCCTCCACCCTCAGCGTGCATGTTCCTCTGAAATGCAGGAAATGATCTGCCAGACTGCATGCAGCAGTAATATTCACTTGTTTCTCCTCACTTACAGATCAGGAGCAGAGAGAAATATGACATGAAACTCCCTGTATGGATTAACATATACCTGTGTCTGCATTTTGTTGCACTGGTAATTGTCTACCAGGAGCTTGCTCTCAAATATTCGGTATGTATTCATGGTGAACATTTTATCCATTCTTTTATCCTTCAGTAGCAACTTGAAAAATAAATACGCACATACAGATCGAGAATCTAGTTGTCCATCTGCCTGATGTGAGATTTTGTGACTCAGGGATCCGAAATTCACAGTCAACACCACCTTCTCCACGGTTTAGGCCTTTGGCATTTCCTGACTCCTAAAAACATCGCTGGGTCCGTTTTATTCATGGGTATCCTTGACTTCTCCTTCCAAGAGGTCTATAGTTCAACACACATTTTAAGATCTGCTCCTTTCATTCTTCTAATGTTCTTACTAATTTTCCTCACAGTTCTTAGCCCTGGATAGCAGTGAGGTCAGCTGGAGTTACTATCTTAAGTTTGCATTACATTTCCTGCATAGCAGTTTGCACCCTGCTACTGTGAAGGACAAAGGAGTGGAAGTAACTCTGTATAAGGCAGACTCTGCACTGGTCTTTACCATGCTTGGAGTACAAAAATTGTAAAATAATCATACTGTGACCATGAGCTTCTTTCTACTCAAGATCATCATGCATTGTGAAAAACCATGTCCCATTACAGGTATCCATGTCTTTGCAGATCGTAACAGATCTAGATCAAACCTGTTGAAAAATGGTCTCAGTAAACATAAATCCGATGTGTGAATACGGACAAGGGCCTCTTATCCAAGGAAATGGATAAAATCCCAAACAATAGAGACAACGAGCATTTAGTTCACCAACCAGCAAATGTACATGACGTGGAGATATTTCCATGGGGTTAATACATGGAGCAAAAGTAACAAACGGTAAAGTTATCCCTGTAACATGCTGTGAAGGCAAATAGGGTTATTAGATGTTGAGTCTCCTAGATTTTCTCCACAGTCGGCTCACAGGTAGTGGTAAGGTTGTCAGCCTTTAAGTGCCAGACACCCTTTACACCCCAGGAAAATTCCTGATACTCATATCTGTTAGAGGCTGAGTTGACCCCAGAGCCAAAGTGCAGGTGGAAGGATCAGGTAAATTAAAATATCCACTTCATTGGGACTCAAACCCGTGACCTTCCAGTTTGTAGCAAAAGATACCCAACACACAATTTTTGTACTTGAGGGGCAGTTGGCTCTCTCTCTCTCTCTCTATATATATATATATATATATATATATACACACACACAACACACACACATATTTTAAAGTTGCACATAGTTTCATTATTAGAAATTCATTAACCTCTCCTGAAGGAGGTCTGTATAAGCTTAATGTTATTACTAGGTTAGATGGAGGCACGCGGTAGTGTAGTTGGCTGAGGCACTATGCTACGAGCCGGAAGGTNATGGAACAAATAATAATTTATGGAGCAGCCTGCTCTGTATGCTTTAGGAGAGCAAGCAATCCAATATGCAGACTACTTCAGCAACAGACTAGTTACCTACCTATCTCTGGGGAATTCCTGCAAACTCAGAAGTTCCAAAATCAAACAAGTCAGATAAATCTTTCACAATAGCCATTTACATTATTGGACTTGTGCAGTTTTTAGCCTGCTTTCCTTCCTCTAGGAAAAAACTAGGCTTATGCAATCACCATGCTGAATTGGGATAGGTCAAGTTGGTACAGTGACAGGCTATGGGTTGGACGATCCAGGTAGGATTCCTGGTAGGGGCAAAGTGGCAGGGGCATAAAACTGACCATTCACCTCCATCAAGTGCCATTGTCAAGTATGGTGGAGTAGTACCTCAACTCCCCCATGACTTCATGGCATAGTGCTTAATTAATTAAGCACAGGGACAACTTTACCTTTTTTTATCTTTTGTCTACAAGGCAGGCAGAAGGGGATTACTTTCAGCAATCTTTAGTAAATATGATCTGTGTTGCCTTTTATCATAATCAGTAATGAAGCTCTGCTTAAGCAGCAAGGCATTAATGCATGCAGCATAGATCCCACAGCTGTTCCCTGTATGGGCACACAGGGAACTACTGCCCCAATATCACTCACATCACTCTTCCATTTCATTTGAATGCACATATAAAGTAAATAACTTACAGTTTATATTTTGATTCCAATTATATTTATATTCATAATGGCTTCTACCACCAGAAAAGCATATCAACATGTAGCAGTCACAAAGTTTTAAAGAGACTTATTACAAAATATCTCATTTCTGTACAATTCTAATTTTAAGTTTTTAACTGAAAATTCAATTTATGCATTTAAAACTCACAAGGACACAATATGGCTCCACATTGAAATTACATGCAATTCAAGAACTGAAACTAGTATCATAGTACACTTGATGATGGCCCAATATAAGGGCCGAAACATGTAGCGTCAACAGCAAAACAAATGTTGATACAATAGTTGTTGTGTAGACTGCCCCATTATATACTTTGTTGTAATAGCACTATTCACACGTAGTAAAGAATAGCAGCGCCACGCACACAGAAAGACTACACAAGATAACACTATACAGTGTGGTAACAAGAACTAGCCGCTGCAGCACTTTAAACATAGGGCGAATAACCCTAACAATTTTAAAATTTAGGAAAGAATTTTAAAGGTTTTTAAAATTAGAACTAAAGATTTTATTATAGTGGTATTACAACAAAGTCAAAATTAACGTGTGTAAGATAAAATAATCTACAAACCAGACAGTTATCAACGAAGTAGAAGTTGATAATAAGAAGGAAAGTGTTTTTAAATGTTAAATTTTGAGCTGGGTGCAGTGTGACAGCGACGTGAGTGTTATACACCTGATGATGGCCGTCTGAGGCCGAAACATGTAGTGTAGGGGAACAAGATCAAAGACACAAAATATATTGTTTGCACTTGAGACGGAGTTTTTATCATTATATCATTTATCGTATGGAGTGCAACAGGATGCTTAAATATAATATCTTAAATGTGCCACATTTTCAAAACATTTGTTTCCTATCTTTATGTCATGATTTTGCCCTTCATTCTGGGAACAAGACAGCAACATATACTTCTTCTTTTATTGCTAGTGGGGTGGGACTAAGTCCCTTGTACTGCAGTCACTTCTGGCCTATTGTACCCGCCCCAGATGATAGGTGAGGGTGATTGTGGAGCAATTGGTGGAATGAAGATCGGCAGGTGAAACCGAAGTACTCAGAGAAAACCTGCCCCAGCGCCACTTTTCCACCACAAATCCCACTTGACCAGACCCGGGATCGAACCCGGGCTGCTGCGGTGGGAAAACATAGTTTTCTCAGTGTTTCCTTCTAGACCAACCTCCTTACTAGCGCCAGTTAAAGTTTGTGTTTCTCTTTATCATATCTACATTATCACCCAGTAGATTCACATCATTGGCATAGACCAACAGCTGATATGTCCCATTAAATTTCAGTCCCACCTGGTTTTCTTGGACCTTCGTAATGGCATATTCTAAAGCAAAGTTGAAAAGTAGTGGCAATAAAGCATCTCCTTGTTTTAGACCATTCTGGATAGGGATTTTATCAGACAAATGAAGAAAGTCGTCTTCTGGCATCTGGCGCCGTGTATTCTTTGTTTCAGCCGAAGTTTCGGAGGAACATATCGCCTCCATCTTCAGGGCCTGTGAATTGCGTTGTGAATACAGAGAGCAGTAGCTGTAATGATTAGGAAGTGAAA